ATTAAACTGCCATTTTATAGGCAATAAGCTTATACCCCCTTATAGACCGGCTTCGTGAATGAGACCTACTAACGGTAAGACTGACTTGATCTTATACACACACACACACACACACACACATATATATATATATATATATATATATATATATTATTAACTTATAATACTATCAAGTATAAGGGTTGAATTTTAAACAATTAAAATTCTAGGGTTTGAAATTAAAGTATTCTAAAGTGACTTTACAAATTCCAAAACTTGATGGCAAGTTTTGAAACTTGTCAAAACTTTTCAAGTTCATAACCTATGAGTTTTAATGCCTTTTAAAGAAGTGACTTTTCATTTTCCATAACTTGAGGACAAGTTATGGAGCACATCAAAGGCCATTAAGATCATCAATTAAACTAACAAGCATGTCAAGTAATGTCCATGATCTAACTAAAACTCATATGAACAAAACAAATCAAATCAAACAAATTTCATGTAATTAGCCTAAACATATAAACTAATACAAAATATGAAACTTTGACAATTATCTTTTGAATTGGATTAGCATGACCATTACCACACCAAAAACAGGTTTATAAGTTCCAAAACAGTTTAGGGTAATGATCCTAGTCCAATTCTAGCTTTAAAACTCGAAAATGTGCATTCTGGAGCACCAACTCGTCGAGTACATGAACTGACTCGGCGAGTTGCTGACTCGACGAGTCTGTCAGTGGACTCGGCGAGTCCACTGTTCAGAAAGCAGAAAAACGATTTTTGAAGAAATTCTAAGCAAGTAGCATCAAGTATAATTGAAAACAAGCCTAGGCTCTGATACTATTGAAGGGTTTTGAGCATTCTAACACTCCTAAGGTGTGCATGCCACCCTAGAAACCTTGGATCTATGTTTTCTCTATTATACATGCAAACTTTCATTTTTCCATAGTTTCATCCTAACTAGCATACTATGAAGTATATGTAACACAAAAATCTAGTAGAATGACATACCTTTTCTTGTAGCTTGATTCCTTAAGCCTTTAAGAGCCTAGCACCCCAAGTGTGATGCCTCAAATGCTTCACACAACACCACCAAAAAATTGGAATAACTTGAGAGAAGAATACTTGCACTCAAAATCGGCTAGCCCATTTTCCTTTCACTTAAGTGCTGATTTTGGTAGCTGTGAGGTCCTTTATATAGTATGACACAACTAGGGTTACACCATGCAAACCCTAATGTGCATGACTTTCCACATTCCTCATGCTCCATGGGTTTTAACCTCCATGGAGTATCCATAGGTCACCACATGCGTTTAGCCCAACATGAAGAACTATGGGTCATAAGCCCACTTTATAAGAATGAATGATTTACACAATCAATCCCCATGTATTTAATTAGTCTCTTTTAATCACAAAATTAATTCCAAATTAATTCTTGATCAATGCTAATTAAATAATATGATTTCATATTAATATATTAGAACTTATAATATATTAATAAATTATAAGTATCCTCTTCTCAAAAGTCCATCCTTACAAATTGTTCCGGTGCCATGCAACCCAAATGGACCATGCTACACTCGAGTCAAGTACATACCAATTATAGTTATGAGCTTAGACACTAAATCCAACAACTCCAGCCTCTTCAATCTCCAAATTCCTTCACAACCACACCAAAATCACTCTTTAAAGCTCTCTCACACACTCAATAAGGTATAAGACTCGAGATAGGGTTTCTTTGGGTTGCAAAGACGATGAGGGACGCTACAATGAGCCATATGTTCCTTAAATAGTGATACAAATGCCTAAAAATTAGGGTTTTCCTTTACAATGCCTACTCGTTGAGTTGGGCCTTCAAACTCTTCGAGTAGATCCTAAATTCCGCGTTCCACAAATGATCTCTACTCGACGAGTTGGAGCTCCCCAATTCGTCGAGTTCCAGTCTAAAACCCTAAAATTTTGAAAAGTAATTTGATACCTGAAACGAGCGTTACATTTATTTTGTGTTTAATTCTTGTATATATAATAGAGAAAACATAGATCCAAGGGTTGCATGCACACATAGGATTGTTTGTATAAAACCCATCACCATCTTCTTCATCCTCTTCCAAGCCTCCCAAGAGGATCCAAAGAACAACAAAGGTTGTTATTTTTTCATCCTTTCCGTGGTTGGTATTTTATCTTTCTATAACTTGCAAGAAGATCCTTGGTGGGTATAAAATGTTTATGTTATTTTCAAAAATCATAAGTCTTCCGTTTGCCATTTTGTAGTTTTTGAAACTATTTTTGAAATAAAACCCAACAATTGGTATCAAGAGCCACCTTGCAAGTTTGGTTAGATTTTTTGATTTTTGGAAATCTTAGTTTTTGGACAATATGGATAACTTGTTTTTGTATAAAAATAAGTTTATACATATTTTCTATTACAACTTTATAATTGTTATTTTTTTATGTGACAAAAGTTTCATGCATCTTTTGTCATTTAAAGTTGTCTTAGAAAAACAAATGTTGTTTCATATGTATGTTGATGTGTATAATGTGCATAAACTAGCCAAGGACCATTATGATTGTTGTGTTGTTGTGTTTGTTGTTTTTGTTATAAAAATGGTTGTAATAATTTATTTATTCATATGGTATGTAATAATTAAATAGATTAGTTTTTCTTGTTTATTTTTGTTAAGTAATAGATTAGTTTTTAGAAATAATCTATTTGTACAAAGATGTAACAAGAAATGAAGTTGGAGACATTTTTTGAAGACAAATGGAAAATTTTCGAGTTCAACATGTGTTGGGCAGAAAGATGACACTTTCTGAAAAGTGTCATGAACGCTACACATGTGCTTAACAGATAGATGACACTTTATGAAAAGTTTCATGAAAGCTGAGATTTTTCCTTTAAAGAAGCCCTTCAAATCTTTTGCAAACAATGGGTGTTTACTCAACAATTAACCAAAGTACGTATATTCGACATGTTTACATAGATATTCATGTGTCAGTTAAACTTTATACCTATAAATTTATTATTAAAATATGCATCTTTGTATAGAATAAAATGTTCATTGTTAGTGTGTAATCTTACCAACGTCATTGCGAAGGGTTATGTACACCACTCTACCGATGAAAACCATAGAATACATGGAAAGCCACTGACGACCGATTACTATAGAGTTTTTGTGGATGAAGCAATAAAACCATCCGCCTGCGTACGAAACGAAGATAACAAAATTACGTTAGCAATTTTTGATGCAATATGTTGTTTTGTGGCTTGGGAAAAATATTGTAACCTTGCATCTTAAGGTACTTTAGTTGCATACGTTATAGTAATTAATATTTATATTAATTAATTAAAATTTATATTTTTTTAAATTGATTTTATTAGTTTATTATATATTAATTGTGCATGTTTACTTCAATGCATGTTTAACACCTCTTTTAGTTTATGTTGTGACAGGATCCGGATGTGCATATATTTGAAACAAATAATGAAATACAAAATCCCAAAAAAAAACACAGCCCAAGAAAACACAACCAAAGACTTATTATCCAGCAACCTATTATCCAACAACCGGGCAAAGGACTGTAGCAACTACTAATAAAAAAATAGAGTTTAGTTTATTTAGTTTATATCATTGTATATATGGATGTTTTTTTTTTGATGTAATAACTTTATATAATGAATATTATTAAAAATGGTTTTTTAATTACATTATATTTTGTATTTCCATTTTTGCGCATCATAGTAATGAAAGGTGGTCAATATGTGTAATTAAATTAAAAAAAACATTCTATAATAAAATAATAAAAAACATATTATGTCTATATAGATCATTTTTTTGTGATGGGTTAAATTTGTCGGTATATGTAAACAATAGTAATGGAAAACCATTAAACATGTTGGTAAAGATAATTTATTCTTACAACTTAGTAACATTCGAGTCTTCAAAAGTCAACAATGATTGCAATAATATTTATTAACGGTGACTATAAATGAACATTTATGACTCTATAGGAAAAAAAAAACACTATAAGCATTATATTGTCATCATTTAATTGCCTAATGAATGAATAAATGTACAAGGTATTCACGATATAATATTAAACATGTCAACAAAAGTTATCAATAATCATAATAAAAGAAATAACATGTTAGTATAGATCATTTTTCTTCCAAATTTTTTATTTGTTGGTTTATGTAAACAAACCATTAAACACGTTAGTACAGGTAACTTATCCTTACACCTTAATTACATTCGTGTCTCCAAAAGTCAACAATGATCCCAATAATATTCATAAATGGTGACTATAAGTAAACATTTATGACTCTATAGTAAAAAACACATCACTCTAGTGGAGTTATTCATGACCGTTATCAAAATAAAATAGATACATCTGTAAAAACACTTTGCTAGATAATGACAGGTTTGACCTATAATAACAGGTTTTCATGGGCTATACTCACCACAATTGAACGAAAGCATAACTTATATTCAATGACGCGTCCTTTTCTTTCATGTTTAATGAAAAAAACCGGACATAACATGTCTATAATGACAGGTTTTTTACGCGGATAAAGCGTAATTTTGTACTAGTACTAAGATTAATTAGTTTTCAAACTGTAATTACAATCTTTCTTGAAATTTGGTCCAATGCTTGCGATCATGACAACTAATCTTAAAATCTTATATCATAATCTTATAAATCATTATCATGTCACTTGCATGTATAAATAATCCATGAAAGTGAGGGGGGAATTTTATGTTCTTCCGTAACAAGAATAACTAATGCAACACGTGACATGTACGAGATCATGTATCTAATGAATGTAAGAAGACACATTTCCAATTTAGGAAAACACAAAATTACATTATCAGCTAAAACTTCATGTTAAACTAAGCTTTTGATGTTATGCACAACAAACTAAATCATGCGAGGGGTCAAATAAATGTGTTTTGTGACATCTCCTACAAGCTGGAAAAAGAAAATAAAAATACCATAGGTTTCAAGTTGTGATTAGAACTATCTTAAATGACATTTGACCAAGTATTGGCTACCAAGACTAGTCTTCGTTGCAACATTGATGGATCAATCAATGCCTTCTCACTTACCTGGAAAAACAATCCATGAAATGAGGGTTAAACTAATGTTCTTCGATAATTCCTTGTGTCAGGTTAGGCTTTTATAATTAAGGACTAAGAAAACCATCAAAAATGACAAAGTATAACTGAAGAATGATGTGTAGGATCTACCTCAGAATGGATAGAGTGAAGTAACCGATTATTTATTTTGGTTGAGGTGCAGCTTACTATGTTAATCCCTTCTTTGATAATTGCATCTAGTACTTGTGAAAAGGTAAAACCTTCCTCTAAGCAACTATTTATCACAATATCGACCATCCCATTGCAGAACTTCACTGAGACAGTATTGGATAAGTGATTCACTAAACTTTCATTAGTGTCAAAAAGTTTCTTGAGCCGATCTCTCTTTGTACTCATTTCCTTAATATTTTCCTCCTTTTCTTTGATGTAATGCACTGTTGACAACAGATGATCTGGTACGGAACGTTTTCGCTGAACACCAAAAATCACCGATTCCAACATGAACAGTCTATTTGTTAGCCTCTTTGATATCATTTGGCACCAAAGAACTAACTAAAATATATAAGGAAAGAATAGATCAAAATTCACCTTTACGAGTTCAATAGGAAGTATACTTGTAAGTGAAGCATAAAGTTGGCTCATTTCTCGCCTCCGGTAACGTTCGATTTCTCTGTGAGTTACTTGTTTTTCAGCCTTTTGCATGGATCCGCTTGAAGGAAGATTGATGCTAGCTTTACCCAAGCCCTCTACCATGGCAAGATGTTCATCAGGTGTATGATCTGCTTGCTGTAAGGAAATCAAATAAGGATGGTTAGTGTGACAGATCGATTGATAAAGAAGAAGGGAGAATCCACATTATGGAAGTTGTAATATATCCACATGATTGATCATCTTGCTGTTGTTTGTCTTGGAGAAGAAAATATGCACACTGATTTTACTATTACCAGAAATATATAAACCTAGGAACAAAGTTACAAATATAACCCTGTACTGTACATAATTACTAAAATATACTCTGACACCCCCCTCAAACTCAAGTGGGTAAGATATGATCTAACTTGAGTTCGGAAACTAGAAATTTACAATGACTAAGAAAATGTGCCTTGGTGAAGATATTCTCAGGTTGATCAGTCGTTGAAATTGGATGAAGTCTAACAGTTTTACGAACATGTTGACGGGCAAAGTGAGAGTCAATTTCAATATGTTTTGTACGCTCGTGGAAAACATCGTTGTGGGCAATTTGAATCGCATTGTTGTTGTCCCACCACACTGATGTAGGAAGGGACTAGGCCGCCCATGTCAGCCAAAATCCAACGTAGCCAAACTAATTCTTGAGTTGTATCTGTTAACGCTCAATATTCAACTTCAGTACTTGATCAAGCTGTAAGTGACTGTTTCTTACTCCAAGAAATAAGCAAATCACCGAGAAAGAAACCATAACCGGTAGTAGACCGTCAGGAAAATCACCATCCCAGTATGCATCGAAGATGGCTTTCAGATTTAAAGATTGCACGAAAAATGTAGTCCATGAAACATTGTACCCTTATGGTATCGAAGGATCCAAAGAACAACTGCATAATGACTCAGAATACGGTGCTACCATAAACCTATTAACCATGTGAGTTGCATAAGCAAGATCTGGTCATGTAACTGTTAGAAAAACCAATGAACCAACTAATTGTCTGTAAGTAGTAGGGTTGCTAAGAGGAGTACCACTCCCATGAATATTCGTGTTGAAGCCACTTTGCAATCCATAAGGCTCGAGCAAGAAATTAATTTGAACTATATTTTGCTTGGTAGAGGTAGACTCCTAGTCGATCTGAAAGCACTTCAAGACCAAGAAAAAGTGAAGATTGCCAAGATCCTTCATTTCGAAGCAAGAACCGAGTGATAGCCTTAGCTTTATAGTACCAATACCATCACTCCCCGTAATGATATAATCGTGCTGCTAAATTTCTCGAACCAAGCCCTTGGAGCCTGTTAAAGACAATAAAGGATTTTTAAAGTTAAAAAGCATACCCTTTAGGGTAATCAACGTCACTCGGAGGGCATATGTATAATTCCATAACGAGTTACCATTGAGGAATGCGTGCTTAACATCCATTTGATAGAGCAACCTGCAACAATCGCAAGAGTATGAATAGAAGGGATGAGGGTGACATGTGCAAACATCTCCTCATAATAAATACCATATTCTTTATTGAAGCCCTTGGCAACAAGTCGAGCTTTATATGTGTCAACAATACCATCTTGCCTTTGCTTTATAAACCCATTTAGAACCAATAAGTGATTTTGCTCGAGGTAAGGGCACAAGTTCCCACGCATGGGCTTTCCGTAATGCTTGAAGCTCTTCATCCATAGTGACTCTGCCAACATGGGTTATTCGAGGCTTCCTTGTAGGAAGTTGTTTCATGACTAGACAACAATGTAGTGTAGCAATGAAAATCAAGAAGGTGACATGGAATTTTCCTTATTCGATCAGAATGTCTCGGTTCGGATGGAGTATTATGATTAGAATTAGTAGATTGTGAAGAAGTCTCACAGATAGGTCATGAAGGTGTATTAAAGGGTTATGCGGAGTCTACCAATCCAAAAGTTAATGAATCTAGAGGTGACTCAGAAGTGTTGGAGTTATCTGTGCCGGAACCGGATGGGAAAATGTCCAATGAGATTGAGGCATCTGTCAGATAAAGACATACCGATCGAGACTACACTAGAAACTTGGAAAGGAAGGAAACAGTTTTTCGTTCCCAAAAAGGGACAAGAAAGGAGATACACAATCTTTTACAGATAGGATCCTAACATCCATATACTTTGTATTCGATACTTTAACCAAGAAAAGAAAACAACACAATCGAGAACGAGGCTCAAGTTTTGAATGTTCGTGAGTTTGCAACTTAACTAAACAAACACAACCCTAAACTCTAAGAGATCATACTCATGAAGAAACTCATGAAGACATTCATATAGGGATTTGTTTTAAAATATAGGTGTAGGATGACGATTTATTGTGTAGAAAGTTTTGAAGGCTGCCTCAACCCAAAATCGTTATCGAAGCTAATATTAAATTAACAGTGTAAAAACAATGTCTAAGATGCGTAGATATTTGCGCTCAACTCGACCATTTTGTTGTGATGTATCTGGACAAGATTATTGGGGAATTATACCATGTCCCTTCAATAAGGAGATAAGAGATGACTCTTTTTATTCCGTGGAATTCTCGGCCAAAAATATTTTTATGGATTTTGAAAATTGAGTTTGAATCATTCGTGGAAAAGAGATAAGTTTTGGGGAACTTTGAATAGTGATGCATAAGGTAAATCCATGTAAATCAAGTGGAATCATCAACAAAGATGACAATGTACCTAGTACCCCAATAGTATGGTGACGAACATGTCCACAAACATCTTAATGAACTAAGTCAAATGCTTTTGAGAAAGTAAAATCATTTGTAGTAAAAGGCAAGGAGTGATATTTTCCAAGTTGACATGACAAAAAAGAACCTGCTTGAGGTTTAACATTGCTAAGTAAGACAGACTGAGCTAGTAGTTTAAGTCGAGAAACAAAGATATGACCTAGGCGAGCATACATATCAAAAGAAGAAATACTTGATATAGAGGCGACAAAATTTGATGATGACTCAGGAACACTAAGGTAGAACACTTCATACATCCTTCCAACTCTACGCCATATTCCTAGAGTAATTTTGCTGATTTTAATGTCATCATGTCATTTTATGTAACTGGAACTAACATGTGAGCTAAGCGGATTCATAATTTGTACTCTAATATATGTACGGGGTTTATGCAGAGTGCACGTATGTATAAGATCGAATTATCAGCCGGTTCAACGACAAGTCGGGGATCCGGGGGAAGCGCCCCTAGGTTTGGGGTATCTAAAGGGGTGGCGCCCCTTTGGCGGGGTCTAGGGGCTGCGCCCCTAGCGGGGTCCTAGGGGCAAAGCCCCTGGCTGGGGTGATTATGGTGAAACTCGTTAGTTTTGGAAACCCTAAATCCTCATTAAAATCCGGATTACCCTGTCTTGCTTCAAAAGCAACTCATGACGGTCCAACCCTAATAAAACCCTAATCTCGTTTATTATATAAGCGACTCTTCCTTTTGAGTAGGGATATACGAAAATTAGCTCTCATTTTTCTTCAAACACTCACAAAATCTTTCTAGCAATTTGGCTTACGATTTTTGTGCCTAGAATCGTAAGTGTCCTCTTGGATTATCCTAGGCTGAATTTCTTGTAACTCAGGCATAGAGTAGAAATAGCAGTTCGGAAAGTGTTCACACGATCCAAGTTAGTATCCAGATATCCACCACAAACCCTACTTGGTCTGACATATCTTTGGTCTTTGGATCATGTACAAGGCAACCACCAGGGGTGAAAAGAACATTTAGGCCAGAGTCACGTAATTGGATAACAGAAATAAGGCTCAAAGACAGATTAGGAACATGAACAATATTGAGTAAAGATAAATGTGAACTGGAGACATGCTCAACAATTGTTGCAGGCAATAGTGTGCTATGAGCCATACAAATTGAAGGGAAAGTGTGTTGTAACTATTTAGTGATGAAAAAATCGTCATATGGTGTCATATTATTACACCAACCAAAGTCAAACAACCATGTATTACTTGAGGATGATGAAAATTCATGGAACCTGTTATGAGTTATTGGATTGACTCTCGATTTCTTTGTGATAATGCTTTAGGGTTCGAAGTAGTGAACACATCAGAAGTAGAGTTTGTATAATTTTTATTAGGGCTTTACAGGATTTATATCAACTCTATATTTTTAATGTAATAAATCCATTAGAGTGGATGAATTTGTCACTGCACATGAGGTACTATGAATGGAATTCATGTTGTACCAACAAACTAATCAACAGAAGTTTGACTTGGTATAATTTTATAGTAAAAGATAATAGGTTGTTTGGTAGAGTAAGGTAACGTTCATGTAATAAGGAATAAATAGATAGGGTAGATTACCAACATTAGTAAGGATATGTGATGAATAGGGAATGATTTGTGTTGCAAAATCAGATAGTTGAGATCTAATTTGATCTTGAAAACCTATAGCTCTAAGGGTAATTTCCGATTGAAAATGTAGATTTCATTGACTAGGAATGATATGATGAATGGATAAATTGAAAAAAAAAAGACAAACAATAACCAAAATGTCCGAAATGTCTAACCGAGAAATGGATCAATTGAAAAAAAAAGACAAAACAATAGCAAGTGTTCATGAATTAGCAACATGTGTTTGAAAGTTTGTAGATGTCTAACTGGAATGGTAATCGATTGGCGATGCCTGTTTGGAATAGTTTGTGATTGTTAGTAGATGAAATCAACGATTGAACCTATCAAACTCTGATACCATCTGAGACATCGACTAAGGTTGATTGATGAAGAAGAGGGGAATCCATATAATGGAAGCTGTTGTTTGTATTGAAGAACAAAATGTACACATTGATTTTACAGTTACCACTAACATATAAACCTAGCTAAAAGTAATAAAGTTACAAATATAACCCTAAAATATACATAATTACTAAAATATACTCAAACCGTTATGAATCACCAAATCCTCACTTTGCAGTAAAGAGAATAATATGTGATTATGTTTTCTATTTGGTAAATCCATACATATCTTTATGATTTCTTGTAATATCTTCTTGATCTTTAATAAGTAGGGTTTTCTGTTGTTAACAATGAATTTAAAGATCACAAGTTCCACTAGCATAATATATATCCGTTTTCTTTTTTCTTTTATTATTAT